TTACCCACGAAGCAACACTCTGCCCTCCTTGGGGCTGTGGGTAGGCAGGTGGTTGTGACTCTCTGCTGACCTTGAGCACGTCTTTCGATTTCTCAGACTTCGCTCAGATTCAAGGGATGATGATGATGATGATAACCCTGATGAAGATTGCTATGACATCAGCTATAATTCTCTTGGTGATTTACTACAAACTGGACAGAGAACTAAGGAAGGGCTACTGACAATTTGCTAAGTCAGGACGATCCCTGAGTGGTGCAAACCCAGCTCCTAACCAACAGACTGGAGACTTGAGTCCACCCAGGAGTGCCTCGGAAGTAAAGTCTGGCAATCGACTTCCACAAAACCAGCCACGGAAACCGACAGCCCAGTTCTGCTCTGACAGCCATGGGGTCATTATGGGTCTGAGTCAATGCCACGGCACCTGGATTTTGTTTCTTTTTGCTTTTTTAAAAGTTAGGGTTAGGGTAGGGATGAAGTGATAACACCTGTGTTAAGTATGAGTAGTTACGGGTTAGCGTTGGGGTTAGAGTTTGTTAGGGTTAAGGTTAGGGTTAGGGTCAGGATTTTTGTTAGGGTTAGGGTTAGGTTTCGTGTTAGGCTTAGAATTAGTGTTAGGTGTAAAGTGATAAAGCTTGTGGTAAGGATTCCTGGGTTTTGTTTTTACATGAGATTCCCCCCACCCCACCCCACCCCCCGCCCCGGGGTTTTTTGGTCACTGCTATTAAATCTGGTGAGAAAACTTGGAAACTATTGGTCCAACATCATGGTTTAGCAGGGAGGCACTGCAGCTCAGGGGACAAAGTGGAGGCCCAAGAGGAGACTGCCCCAGGGGCAAAGCAAGGACAGAATTCGTTGCTGAAACTGCAGTTTCCACAAAACCACTCCACTCACCTCCGTCCCCCTCAGGTGTGAGCAGAGAAAATACTCTGGTTTATAACACCTTAATGAAGACATAAAAATCATAGGATGCTGCTGCTGCTGCTGCCAGCTCTGCCCTTTCACCCAATGTGTTCCCAGGAACGATGCCGCAAAGAGGACGCTCTTTCCCACAGGAGCAAGGTTCCGATCGGTGGTACAATGGGTGTGACACCCAACAAAGCTGACACAGTCCATGATGGACTTCAGAGCCAGGACGCAATGCCAGGGAGTGTCAGGGATGCAGGCCTAAGCACACTGAGCCTGATCATACATGGATCAAAGTGTAACATGGGCTTACAATATGCTAGGTTGGTATACAATATACTGTATTCTAGTAGTGAAAACATCCTCATTGACATTAGACATTTCATAAGTACTATTTTGATTTGCCTTCTTAGAATTTATAAAACCCTGAAGGCTTTGTCTTAAAACTAAGCATCCATCTAAGTGAGGAATCACTAAAGTCCATTTGGAAGAATGACACCAGCCTGCGAGATTCAAGGGTTATACATAAGAAAATCCAAATCCGAAGGAGGGAATGGTGTCCGAGGTTAAATTGTGCACACTTGGTTTCCAGAAGGCTATGGATGACAGTGGACGCCCAAAATCCATTTGCAGGCTCCACACATGCCTTCAACCTCCAATGGCTCCCCTCTGACCATCGTGGAGGGAAGTGAATAGCCTTACGATCAGACAGAAAGCATTGTAAGGCTGATTATGGCAGATGTGGTTATGTTAAAAAATAATACCTTATCATTTGATCTCCTTTTAGCCCATTTTAAAGTTGTCTGATTAAAAAAAATGAAGGAGAAACATGTGTACGTGGATTAAGCCTGTGGTGAATCCATCCCTGAGACCACAGACCAGGGATTGATCACCTTGCCATCAAGGCTGTGCCATGGAGAGGGGATGCTTGCAGCTGCAGTGAGGTTAAAATCTAACATCTTGATCACTGGCTCTCCCATTTGACCCATTTTAAATTTGTACTAGTTTTTAATAGTTCCAGCTTTCTTTTCCATTGAGGATCTTCTCAGGTTTATTTTGTGAGTGGTTGTTGGGTTTTTTACTGGGTTTTGAAAATATGTTTTTTCTGTATATGAATTCCAAGATTGGTAAATCTATAGAGATGGTAACTGAGTTAACGGCTTCTCGTGGATATGACAGATGAGGTTGGGGGGAAATGGGGAGCTAATAACAAGAGTACGAGATGGAAGAGAATGTTCTAGAACTGATTGCACAACTCTTGTTAATATGGTTGAACTACTGAACTGTATGATATATGAATTACATATTAATAAAACTATTTAAAATATTACTAGCAACAGAGGGGGGAAAGTTTATAAGACCCTTATGGAGATGACTTGCTAGATCAGCGGTTCTCAACCTGTGGGTCGCAACCCCTTTGGGGGTCAAATGACCCTTTCACAGGGGTTGCCCGATTCATAACAGTAGCAAAATGACAAGTATGAAGTAGCAACGAAAATAATTTTATGGTTGGGGGTCACCACAATACGAGGAACTGTATGAAAGGGTGGCGGCATTAGGAAGGTTGAGAACCACTATGCTAGATGGTCTTGGTCTTGTAAAAAGCATACGTTTCGAGCATGTGTTAAAAAAAAATAGAAAGAAAAGAAAAGAAGCTTTTCTTCTCTTCCTTCTACGCCCTCTAGAAACCCAAGCCACTCAAAACTGTTCCGCTGACCTTCCTTGCTATACCTGAAGTAGTTCAGTAGATTTTACTACTGCTTTCTTATCCCCTGAAAAGGACATTAAAAGGGATGACTGGCCCACCATCTCTCCCCTTCTCGTCAACTCTGCCTCTTCATCAGACGATGCACAGCTGTGGAGTGCAGCTCCTGAGCTGCTCAATAAAAGCCAGAGCCACTCCCATCGAGCAATTCTGACTCAAGGCGAACATTAAATAAAAGCCACCTACCCATAAATGTCATGAGCGGAGGAGTGGTTTAGAATAAAACACTCCCCTTCACGGCAGGAGACTCAGGGTCTCCTCTCAGCTCATCCAAGTCCTGGGGCAGCCCTTCCCCATCTGGCAGTGGGAGCTCACACTGCAGTGGTGCTGACTGGGTCTCAGAAGCGTCCCCAAACTAATAGGAACTGGGAAGACAGACCTGGCAGTGTCCTGAGAAGGGCCCCTGTCAACCCTTCAGATCACAAGAGTCCAGTCTGCAACGCGTGCTGGGAATGGCACAGGACCGGGCAGTCTTGTTTGGTTGACCAAGGGGTTGCTGTGAGTTGGGGACGCCTCCACAGCGGCTAACACAGATGACAACAATGAATATTGTGAAATCTCTCTTTGGCCTCCTCTAGTAAATAGGAAGAGCCCCAGGGGCACAGTCGTTAAGTGCTCGATGGCCAACCCCAAGGTCGGTGGTTCAAACCCACCAGTGGCTCTCCAGGAGAAAAGACCTGGCAGTCTAATCCATCAAGAGTACACCTAGGAGCCCTTAGGGGGGAGTTCTGTTTTTCCTGTAGGGTTGCCATGAGTGGGAATGGACTGGATGACTCACGACCAAATCGGCAAGAATAACATAAGCTTACTTGACCTATTGACAGCAAACTTTATGGTTCTTTTTTTAAAAACACACACACACACAAGCTGTAGATGGTGTGACTTTCTTACCATGCATTTAAAGCAACCAGCACAATTCTGACCCTGCACAGGGTCTGAGTGACCACACTGTACCAGGAGGTGCTCTGGTGTCTGGGTGTGCAGCCGTGGGGGACTCACTCAGTTAGGGAGAGACAACAAGGGGTTCGAGCCTGTAACCTCTACGGGATGGAAATGTTGTGGAGAAGATGCAGCAGGCGATAGAAAAATAGCCCCAGGAGGTTTCAAGGGAAGGAGGATGTAATCGACCCACCCAGAACAGACTGTGAGACACCACCATGGGACTCCCTGCCACAGTGGGTTATACACTGGGTTGCTAGCCAAAGGATCAACTGTTCAAAACCACCAGCTGCACTGCAAGAGAAAGAGGAGGCTTTTTACCCCCGTACACATTGACAGTCTGGGAAACCCACAGGTGTATGAGTTGGAACTGACTTGATGACCGTGTGTTTAGAGTTTGAGGGAGCAACCCCCTGCCCCCGGGGTTGCCAAGACAGCCCTTGGGGAGGGGCGGGTCTCAAAAGACACCACTTGGGTGAGCGTAGACACTGGCGAGAAGCTATGAGGAGGACAGGAGATCTGGGGTGGGGGTGACGTCGGGGTGTATATAAGGGCACCATCTCTTGACTTAGCAGGACCTTCACCTCCCAAGTCAGGCAAAGGAAAAGCTATTTTTGTGGAGGGGACTCAGGATGGGATGGGAATGGGGAAGGAGGAAAAATGATCGAATTTGTGGGGTCCAATACAAAATGAAAAACAAGGGCTCTTTGTGCAAACATTATAAAGAATTCCAAGGCTGGGCCAATAGAATATGAACCCAGGTATACGGTCTTTCTGAGCAGGGACTCCATGTGACTGCATCATTGGTCACCCTGAGGCCAGCTCCAAGGTGGGTGTGCTCAGAGAAAAAGCGAAGGGCACCCAAACCCACTGCCACAGAGTTGATTCCGACTCACTGTGAGCCGACAGGACAGGGCAGAACTGCCCCGTGGGGATTCTCAGCAGAAAATCTGCTCTTCTCCCGCAGAGAAAAAGAAGCCCATGGTAACATAAGATTGCAGGCCCCTGCGTGATTCTCAAGAGCCTTGGTAGTGCTGTGGTGAAGCACTCAGCCGCTAACCAAATGATTGGTGATTCACACCCACCAGTTGCTCCCAGGAAGTCGGCTTCCAGAAAGAAGCTCTATGGGGCAGTGCTACTCTGTTCTAGGGGGTCACTGCGAGTTAACTGACTTGGTGGCAGTATTTTGTTTTTGTTTGTTGGGGGGGCAGGGTGGTGACTTTAGATGATCAAGCTAGCCTTCCTAAGTTTCCGTGATCAAGTTCCAGCGGCGAAGTGAGAGATTGTTAAGACAGAGGTGGAAGGCTTCCCTTCGAACAAAGAGTTGTTGTGTAAAGGATTCCCAACCCTAAGGCTCTCTAATGGCGTCCAGACAGTCCTTGATTGTCCTTACCTGCAGGTAGATCAAGTCTACAGCCACCCTGCAGTCCATCAGCTGGGCGTCGAGGGTCGGGTCCATATACCTGCATGATCCAGGAATGAACCAATTCATCTCGTCATAAACATGTGCATCGCCATTCAGTTATTAACTCAGAAGGGATGGCTCATGGGCATCACCTTCCAAGCAGGCACACCAGGGACTAAGTGCCCTCCAAAGCCATGACTCTCGGCCCTGGGAACCAAGGCCCCCACTGTCCTAAGAAAGCCACAGTTTCGTCCCTGTCTAGCTGAAAAAGAGAAAGACCTACAATGAGATGGAAGGACCCTGCGGCTGCCGCAATGTGCTCCAACACAGGGACGGTGGTGAGGGTGGCACGGGACTGGGCAGTGGCTTCGGGCTGCTGTGCGGAGCTAGCAGCCAGGTCGCTGGGCGTGGAAACCGACCCAACAGCCTTCCTTCAGTTTGCACTGGTGCCCTATTTTCATTAAACTAAGGACCAAGAGAAAAGGCACACAGCCATCGTAACAATAACAGAGTTTTAGGGGCTCAGTGACATCTCTGCTCACAGTTCCCATTCTTGTCACTGTACCCCAGTCCCGCAGCCAGCATGTGCACCCTTCTGTAGCCAGCCTACACCCTGCCCGCTCTCTCACCTGAGAGGCTCCGGGTAACCTCCTCCCAGACTCTCTGCCTCACCAGGCTTTCTACTCCATCACGGCTCCTAGCGCTCACCTTCCAACACTCCAGCCAGAGCGCTCTCTTCCAGGTCATCCCCCATCATGTCCTGCTCCCTCCCAGGGGCTGGATCCTGCCTCTTCCAAGTCTCCTTCCTGGGACTGCCTCTGTGGCACTTCTGTTTTCCATCTTACTCCCTCCCCCGCCCACACCTCTACCTCCCAGGCTTGCTCTTCTCATCTCCCTCTCCCGAAGGCCACCGTGAACCCTCCCCCTGGCTAGACCAAACCCAGGCAGAAGCAGGCCTCATCTGGTCATCCCTAAGTGACCGGCAATGGTAAGCCAGGCTGTTGTCTGGTGTATTCCGACTCCCGGCTGCATCCAGGGCTTCCAGCAAGGGTAAGAAACACTCCGACAGTTATCAATGTCCACTCACCACTTTCTGAGTCCAACCTTACAGAGTCCCACTTCGAAATTTTGAAGACTAACAAAAGGGAGTTCAAAGCCCGCCATTTGTTTCACCACTAGAAAAGGGGAAAAGGGAGTCTTACTGGTTGAACTCGTGCTCCGTCTCCACGCACACGTAAGCCTATCATGGGTCAGTGTAGGTGTGCAACAGTGTGTACACACAGAAGCGGAAAAATAGAAAACAAGATGCTACTGTTTTAAAATAGTAAAATCAGAATAACAATAGTCTCTTGGATTCATATACTTTTTTTTAAATGACAAAAATTATATTTTAAATTAAAATAATTCTTAATTAACTTTATGAAGTTAATTTAAAGAAAACACACATCATTAACAAACAATGAACGCACTGTCATCCAGTCAATGCGGACTACAGAAACCTTAGAGGGCAGGGTTTCAGAGCTGCCACTGGAGTTCCTGAGACTGTTTACAGGAGTAGAAAGCCTCATCTCTCTCCCTCGAAGAGGCTCATGGTTTCGAACTGCTGACTTCTCAGTTAGCAGCCCAGCATGAAACCTCTACACCATCAGGGCTCCATCAAATGCCTGTGGCTTGAGGAGGAGCTATTGTACACTGTGATACAGATGAAGGGATGGAGGCCCACAAAGGCCCAGCACCTGGGCAGACACACCCCAGGGATTAGCCGTGAACTGACCCTCAAAACTCCTCAACTCCTGACGCCAGACCACCGCTCCCAGTTTCTCACGGACACATAGAAACTGCGGCAGACGGTGGCTAACACTGCACACAAAACCCTGCTCCTGTCTAGAAAGGCGCTGTGCAGTCCAGCAGTGGCTCTCACACTGCCCTCTCTGGCCATCTCATTCTGTTGTTCTTATTGGTGGGGGGCTGATGGGCGGAGCTCTGGCGGGCTGCCCCAGAGGGTCCTGTAGGCTGTCATCTTGACACGGGCAGATCTCCAGGGGTTTAGCCCCTGGAGACACCAACCGGCAGCTGAGCACTTAACCACTGCACCACCAGGGCTCCTTGACCTCATGATGCCTTGAGAGGGACAGGAATCTAAGGACTGACGTCCATCATCTCCGCGTTTCATGACTCAAAGGAAACGTCCCGGGGGATGTCCTAATCGCTAAAGTCTAGAAGCCTTCCACTCACAGCCCAGTGATAAGGTGGCTGGTGAACGTGGGGTCAGGGTCAAATGGTAAAGGTGAGGCATGCACAGAGACTGGGCCCGGAGGAGGAGGTACAAGAGGAAAGACCAGCTGTCCCTCCCCTCCCCTTCCTCACCCCCAGCACTCTCACCATCCTCCAATCCTTTCATCCAGGGGCTGAGGCAGAAGTAGGGACCACTCCCTGGAGGGTTCCCTCGGGATGGTGGGTAAGGAGCCCTCTCAGCTGTGCCCCAGAGCTCCTGGGCAGAGCCCTGTTCACACCTGGCCCCCCGTCTCCTGGGTCACCCACACGTACTCCTTGCCTTCTTACCAGAGAGCTCGCCCTCCGTGTGAAACTGAAGGAGAAACAGACCGAAGTAGCCCAAGAGCTCCCGGGACAGTCCAATTCTGTGTGATGCCACCTTTAACCAGAGATAAAGAGGGGAGGGGGATGAAAACGAGTTAGGAGGGCCCACAGGGCTGATTGTGACCTACAGTTGGACGTTGCTTTGAACATCAGCACAGCGTTGCCATGGCTGCAACAACGGGCTCACATAACATGATTGCGAGGGTGGCCCAGGCTCAGGCAGCGTTTCCTTCTGTTGTGTATACACAGGATTGCTGTCAGTCAGAACCCGCTTGACAGCACCTAACCCCCACGGTGGCCTAGAGCAGTGGTTCTCAATCTTCCTCATGCCGAGACCCTTTGATACCGTTCCTCATGTTGCGGTGACCCCCAACCATAAAATCATTTTCCTTGCTACTTCATCACTGTCATGTTGCTACTGTGATGAATCGGGCGACCCCTGTGAAAGGGCTGTTCAACCCCCAGAGGGGTCGCGACCCACAGGTTGAGAACCGCTGGCCTCGCGCAAGAAACATTTCCTGAACCTGAAAGTGATCCTGGCTTCTCTTAGGAGACCTCGAAATAATGATAATAATCAATATCTATTTTTGTGATTAGGAGTGAAGAAACGACAGACCAGCCCAGCTTCCTGGGTCGGAGTTGTCAGGAGAGACCAGTCCCTGGAGAAGGACATGCTGGCTGGCAAGGCCCTCAACACGATGGGCTGACACCGCAGCTGCATGGACGGGCTCCCAGAGGACACGGCGGGACGGTGTTGGTTCGGCGGTGTGCTCGGTGGTGCACGCGGTGCTGTGAGGTGGAGCCGACTGACGGCACCCACAACCACCATACTCATGGGATTCAAACTGCAGACTGTTTGGTCCACAGCCGGGCCCTGTTAACATCGCCCCGCTGGGCGTCCTTCATCACATCGCATGGACATAAACTTACCTAAAGGAAACATGACAGATGCCCTGACTCATTTAGTGGCAACAGCAAGCTTATGTGCCACGGCAGATAGAGCAAACGAGAAGGTGAGGGCGGCGGGGAGCGGGAGGAGAGTGGAGCAACCTTTCATAATTTCTACACCCGCCAATCCGAACACCTTCTTTGAAGAGGAGTAAGCATTGGGGCGGGGTGGGTGGGGGATAGAGGCATGATGATATTGTTCCTCTCGGCAAATGTGAACACTGCTTCGAAACTCAAGCATCACCAAACCGCAACGGCGACATAGACATTACCAAAACCAACCCATGCCTGTCGCATGGATGCCGACTCAGAGCCCCTCATAGGACAGGGTACAACTGCTCCTGGGGGAGTTGAGACTGTAATCCCTTATGGGAGTAGAACGTCTTGTCTTGCTCCAGAGGAGCGGCGCAGGGTTTTGAACTGCTGACCTGTGGTTAGCAGCCCCAATATGTAATTGCTGAGCTTGCTGGTCCTTGAAGCATCCAAAGAAACGTCCAAGATAGGATGGGGTGGGGCAGAGAGGCGGAAGCAAGGTCCGGGCCGAGGGAGAACCCTCTGTCCTTTGAAAAGTCCTGATACTTTCCAGCTTCCTTTGGCTTGGAACTTTTTATTCCCACTCGCATGATTAAAACTAGGGTGTCTCACAAAAACAAGCAAACAAAACCCAGGGCTTCTCTACCAGAAAGGGGTCTCGGAGCAGTCCTTTGGGAGCAGGGTGCTGCGGTGAGAAGCCAGCATCCCCTCTGAGCCCAGGGAATGCCCGGAGAGGCAGAGCGGGGGTGGTGCCATCTGAAGAAGGGGAAGATGCTGTCTGGGCCTCGTGCTCAGAGAGCTGGCTCAAGCTGAGCCTGGTCCTCTGGAGTCTGTGGGCAGAAGGACACCAACTGGCACGCTGGGGGCAGGGCTTTCCCTGTTGCGGGAGAGGGACAGCTCTTTCGCATTTTGAGAAAAGCTTGTTGCAAACCACCAGCTGCTCCTCCTCGGGAGAAAGAGGAGGCTTTCTACTCCCGTACACAGCTCCAGCTTCGGAACTCACAGGGGCAGCTCTACCCTGTCATAGAAGGCTGCTCTGAGTCGGCATCTACTCCATAGCAGTGAGTTCGGTTTTGTTTTTGCGGGGTGTGTGTGTGTGTGTGTGTGTGTGTGTGTGTGTGTGTGTCTGTCTGTCTGTCTATCTGTCTCACACTCAGCGGGGCTCCACCCTCCATCCTTCTCCCTACCAGGGGGCATCCCACAATAAAGCAATCCGCATGTGTTCTGAGCACATCCCTGGCTGCTTTGCAGGGAAGAAACAACAGCCTTTAGAAAGACCTAAAATAAACCACACTCACTGCCATGCTGACTCCAAGCAACCCCCGCCCCCCCCACTACGGGTTTCCAAGACTGTAACTGTTTACGGGAGTCGAAAGCCCAGCCTTTCTCCCGAGGAGCTGCTGGTGATTCCAAACAGCCCAACACGGAACCACGACACCACCAGGGCGCCTTTGGAAAAGGCCCAAGGCCAGTGGTTCCCAACCTTCCTCACGCCGCGACCCTTTCACACAGTTCCTCATGTGGTGGTGACCCCCCCAACTATAACATTGTTTTTGTTGCTACTTCATCACTGTAATTTTGCTACTGTTAGGAATCGTCATGTCAATATCTGATGTGCAGAATGTATTTTCATTGTTACAAATTGAACATAATTAAAACATAGTGATTACTCACAAAACAACACGTAATTATATACTGTGCAATATCTGTGTGCTTTCTGATGGTCTTAGGCGACCCCTGTGAAAGGGTCGTTCGACCCCCAAAGGGGTTGCAACCCACAGGTTGAGAACCACTGCCTAAGAAACCTCCAAAAAGTTGGTGCCCGTGTTGAGAATAAAACCGGAGTGGACCCGGAGGGTTGGCCGTATCCCAGATTGCTCTGTCGGGCTCCGAGGAACCGGCCTCTCTAGACAAGTCATCCGGGAGAGGATGATGGGCAGGAAGCCTCCCGGAGGTCATCACGTCCTGGGAGGCGCTGCTTCAGCACAGAATTCTTCCTCAATTCCCTGCTGGAGCTGGCGTTTCTCATTTACCTCCAGGACTCTTTCTGCAGTGTCTGACGTGAGGATTTCGATTCGGACACTCTTGGCATCCGGCAGGAGCAGATCCAGAGAGACCTTCTTGGTAGAGACGTTAAACGTGCTCTGTAAGCAAAAGAAAAGCAACATGAGCTCCCGCAGTTGGTCCCTGGGAGCGGGTGCTCGGCAGCTTCCTGTCCCTGGGGCTCTGCAGGCTCCTGAGGACCCAAGTGCTGGCAAAGCCAGATGCGGAGATGGGGAGCGTGGCGCGTTCTGTCAGGGGGTGGGGAGGGGAGTAGGAGAAGGCAGAGAGGTGTCAAAGCAAAGAGGCCTGAACCCGTTCCAAACACACCAGGGAGTCCGTGGCAGAAGGAGAAGGCTTTGATGAAACCGTCTCCATGATCCTTGGCAGACCCAGAATGCATAGACTCTAGTTTACAACATTTCCAAGCATCCTCAAAAGTCCATGGAACCCAGTCAAGGATGGTTTTCCTGCAGCACAAATCAGAACGGCGGCAACGGCAAGGCCAGGGTGGTCACTACCGGGCAAGGAGAGCCCAGCTGAGGGCCCGACAGGGCTCTTACCACTTTCTGGGAGGCAAAGGAGGATGTTCAGAGTCAGAGGCTGGGGGCAAACTGGAGGACCTGTAAGGTTCTTGGGATGGAGTGTTCTAGAAGGTCAAGGACACCCTGGACATCCATCGGAGTTTATGAACTCCTGGGCTGAGGGGAATACCGGGTGCTAGAAACGGCTGCCATCCACTTGCCTCTGACTCATAGCCCCCCAGATTGGACAGAGGACAGCTGTCCCTAAGGCCAAGGCTATCGGCTTTACAGACAGCCGCATCCATCTTCCCTGGAGTGACTGGTCGGTTGGAAGGGCCAGCCCGGCAGTGGACAGCAGAACCACCAGGACAGGACTCCTTACAGTTCCCACAGAGAGTGGAAGTCCAACAGGAGGCATGGCCTCCCTAGACAGGCCAGTGGCTTGCCAGACTGAGCCTCACAGGGTAGCCGCTTCCTTGCCGTGAACTTTCCCCAGCACCTCCAGTATACAAGCCTGTCGGCACAGAATGTGCTGCATCTCTGGCAGGCGGGGGCTCCCAGTTTTTCTCATCTCAGTTATCACCAGAGAACTAAACTCGAGTGCCCCCAAGCCATGTCATGAATTCCCTTGCTCCTCGGTGTTTAGAATGGCATCAGTCGTGAATCGTACCAGAGAGACCGGAAATGAGATGAGTCACTTGTGATTACCTGCTCAGAGACTATCTAAAAGGACCTCTTTTAGTGAAAAGAATATGAGCATCTAGCCAGCCTTTCTCCTCCTGGATACCAGGTTGAAGGAGGGAAGATTTAAACAGTCAATGGGACAATACTTTGGGGAACATGGAGTTGGGGTTCAGGTAAGCTGACCAGGTTTCCCCTCCATAGGCAGTGCCTTCCCTTTCCTCAGGCCTGCTGAGCTCACAGGCTCCACAGATTAGGCATCTTTACTGGGCTTTGTCGGGGACTCAGGCACACTGGTGAAGGCAGGGCCCAGCTCCCAAACCTGACCACAACCACAAATCTACTTTTCCTGATTTATCATCAAAGGGAACATTTCACTTGAAGTTTTACCTTCCATCCTCCAAAAGAAGAAGAAGACGAACAAAGGTAACTCACTGGTGAGATTTTACAAAGCAAGCTAGGTTCTCACTTAACAGTTTCTCAGAATTTGTAACTCAGAATGCTCAGTTTCATATTCTACATTAAATCAACATTCTCATAAAAAAAAAAGGAACTCATTGTCATTGAGTTGATTGAGTCCGATGGTTCCCGCAGTGGGTGATCCTGGCCACCCACCACCCACCCCCAGGGGCACTAGAACAACCTATTGGAGCTACGAAAGCAGATACCTACACTGTATCCTACATTACGGGCTGCGGAACAGAACACTACCACTTTCCAAATTCAAAGCAAGCATCATGATTCATTCTATCTGCATCTGTGGGCAAGAGTATATCATGAAGAAGAAGTAGGAGAACCACGTACTTATAATACACAAAATGTCAGAACTTGACACTAATAATTGTGCACTGTTCTGCTTCACATGTGACAGCCCAAAATAAAACCCATACGGCATAGACCCTTATCAACCCCCACTTTTCAGATGAGGTAAAGGTCTGCAGACGTTCAATCATCCGTCAAGGACACACTGTGAGTCGATGGAAGAGGAGCACTCAGGGTTGGTTCTGCACAACTTTAGGTTTTCTGCTCTATAGAATATGAGTGTATCTCCCGGCTGGCCCACCATGGTTCTGGAATTATCCCAGCATAGTTATCAGAGCATGCCTTTTACTCTCAAAAGTCTCCCAACTTGGATGATAAATATTACAGCCACATTAGTTCTAAGCCACTGTCATGTTGCCTTCCTCCATGACGATAAGTTTTTGTCTGTATGGAACGATCTGTCACCTCCTTGATCGCTCTATGTGTGACTTTTCATACAGTTTATTGGCTTCTTACTATCACTATTGGCCTTCGAATCAGCAAATGCTCAACCACTTACGAGGTTTTGCCTTCCAACACCCAGTGCTGAAACAGCCCACGTCCCAGCATCCTTTGAGAACCAGTCAAAAACCTTCCACAGAACGCCAGAGCCACTGGTCCCTCCTCCAAGGACGGGCTTTCTTCATGCCCTCACACCTGCCTCTGAGCCTTCCAGAGGAGCTTTGAAAGATTTCCCTCCTTCCCCTTCAGCTATGGCAACTTGTGGATTGGAAACATAGCAGTGCGCTCCCCCCCCCCCACCCCACCCCCACAACTGGCTGAGATAGAGATAGGCCTTCAGGTTGATTCTGACACAATGTGACTACAGACCAGAGAACACTTGCCCCTAGGGCATAGGGCTCTCCAGGCTATAAAGCTTCTATGGAACTGCATCTATCTCCCTGAGAGGGAAAGGGTGTTCAAAGCACGGACCTTTTGGTTAGCAGCCCAAGCACTCAACCATTGTGCCACCAAGGGGGGGAGGGGGGGAGGGACGCAGTAAAAGGCTTCCCAAGAGCAACAGTCCTGCATCACCCTGTCCTAGACGCGTCTTTGCTAGATCATGGGCTCTTAGCGATGTTTGGCCTGCACTCACAAACCCCTCTTACCTCAGGAGAGAAGCAAGACAAAACAAAACACCTCTCAAAAGGAAGGGAAAAAATGAGATCGCTTTTTGCTAAGACCCTGAAGGAAAACCTAGCATTCACTCCTTCAGGACCTCACTGCAACTCCTGACTCAAACTATTGCAGGCCAGCATCTAACTGACCGGCCGAAGCCGTTTTAAAATGATAGACAGGTGGGGCCAGAGCGACACCTGTACAAGGTGAGTGTAATCCATGCCCCTGGAATGCACATGGAAAAAGTGTCGATTTTGCAAATATTTTGTTACACATTTTCCCACAACAAGACAATTTAAAAATGACGGAAGACAGAAATATTCCCTGAAGTCGCCCAGGCCCAAACAATAGCTTACTTGGTCCGGAATGCCGGCCTGGAGCACTGTGCTGTTGTAAAGAACATTCTCAGTGGGATCAGAGTGACAAGAAGACGCAAACTCTTGGAGGGGAAGTGTGAGGGGGCTGCTCACGGGGAGGGGCAGTCAGTGGCGGGGTGGTCTGCACAGCTGGAGGAAGGGAGCCAGTGTGCTGAGCTGTGCATCTAGACCTTGTGGGAGGGGTGTCTGCTCAGCTGTGTATGCTTTCAACAACAACACAAATAGACTCGTTTCCTTAAATAAAGGAATCCCTAAAGAAAAATCCAGAGAAGCGATTATACAAATGCATGTTTCCTTATTCAATTCTTCAGTAAAAGAAGAGTGAAGGGGTAGGTGGATTGGCACAGCAGGCCAGGGTCTAGAGGACCCTGAAATCAGAGTGCGGGTTTCATCAAAAAGCCAAAAGGGAAAAATAACGACAATAATAAAAGAAGCCGAAAGGAACCCCTCAGGAACAATAATGGGAGTAGCGATGCCATGTGGGTGGGGCCAGAAAGGTGGAACCGATCGCAATGATCGACACATAACACCACCACCACCACCCCACCCCCGAGGGGAACAACCAGAAACATGGGTGAAGGGAGACAGCGGACGGTGTAAGATATGAAAATAATCATAATTTATAATTTATCAAGGGACCGCGGAGGAGGGAGGGAAAAAGAGGAGCTGATACCAAGGGCTCATGTAGAAAGAAAATGTTTTGAGAATGATGATGTGATGGCAACAAATGTACAAATGTGCTTAACACAATGGATGGATGGATGGGTTGTGATAAGAGCTGTAAGAGCCCCAAATGGAAATGATTTTTTTTTAAATCTAAAGGGGAAGGGGAGAAATAATAATAAAAGAAGCCAAAGAGAGCCATGATGGTCTAGACCAAGGGAATGTAGGGGTGGCAATGGTGTAAGAGAAGAGCCCTTGTGGCATAGTGGCTATGTGCTGGGCTGCTAACCAAAAGGTCAGCCGTTTGAAGCCACCAGGTGCTCCGAGGGAGAAAGATGAGGTTTTCTGCTCGTGGAGAGAGTTGCGGTCTCAGAAACCCAGGGGGGCCGGCCTGCCCTATGCTATAAGGTTGACTCGGTGGCAGTGAGTTTGGTTGTGCTTCAGGTGGTGTAAGGTGGTCTGAAAGAGGAAATGGAGAGGGGCAACTGCAGCCATCACTTTTGAGGGACCGAGGGACTGGGTTAGACCACGGTGGTCAAGAAGAGTCAGCCAACTGCTTGGACTCCAAGCAGGCGGCCTGGTATTAACCTCGGCGGGCTAAGCCTCCTTTCTGTGCTCCTTCGTGCAGCGGTGACATGAGGACAGGAATCGCCTCCCTCTGAAGACTGTCGTGGGGAGTCTAGGGAGGTAAGAAGCGTGGAACTCGGAGCAAGGTTCGCTGCCGCCACTCAAAGAGCAGCTTCCCTGCTGTTGTTAGCAGGAGGGGTGCGAGGAAGTAACTGCTCTTCGATGCGGCTGACTGGCTACGGGTCAGAAAGACGGCAAAGAGAACGACTCAAAGAGGCTGTCACCACTCAGATCCCACCTGACACCGAGTTCGCCATGTGAGGGGGCTTCGAAAGGTCACAAGGGAAAAAAAAACTCCATTGTCTTTTAGCTCCATTTTTTTTCATAAACGTTTTGAAGCTTATCTTAACCCATCTCTTGAATGCACCCATGTCTGTCCATCTCCCCTTCCAGTGCCGTATTCTCAAAGAGCATCTCTCCTCTCTGAGAATTCCACAACTGCCTGCTTGCCGGGTTCCTCGCTCCATTCTTCCCATTCACAACACATGCTCCATAAAACTAAACAAGCATTGCCATCGAGTTCCTTGTGATGCACAGTGACCCCATTGGACAGGGTTAGAACCGCCCCTGTGGGTTTCTGAGACTGTAACTCTTTATGGGAGTAGACAGCTCTGTTGTTCTGGCTCCGTACAGCAGCCCAAAGATCCTTTTCAAGAGGCACGTTTATTTTAAAATGTCCCTCTTTTGCTTAAAAGTCTATTTGTATTGTCCTTTCGAGCTTTGTATTGTCTGGTGGCTTTGTATTGTCCTTTCGAGGACAGAGAAGAGTCCTGATAGCTTGGTGGACTACACACTAACTACTAGGCGGGCAGATCGAACCCACCCAGCTGCTCCACAGGAGAGAAATGAGATGGTTGGCCCCCATACAGATTTACAAATTCAGAAACCCACAGGGCAGTCCTACGCTGCTGTATAAGGTCACTATGAGTCGGAATTAACTTGAGGGCAGTGAATTCGGTGAGGTTATTTTTGTTTGGGAGCAAGGAACACAACTGTTTTCTGTTGACCTCCAAGTCCCTCAAAAACTGCCTCTCTCCCTGGCCCCCTTCCTGCCCAGCCTTATGTTGGTGCAACTCCTCAACCCCCTCCTGCAGCTGAGGTCCTGTGAGGCTGTACGGCACTGCCCCCAGGTCATCCCACCTCCCCTTAGGTTCTCTGAGCCAATCAGCAAACATTCCTTAAGTACCGACCGAATAAGCAATGCCAAGATTTCTGTAGCAGGATACTAGAAAAATGGCAGCAGCCCTGATGAGCAGATATTGTCCGGGAGGGTGGGGGAAGAGGGGGTGAGGAAGGGAAGGTGAGACACTGCCTTTTCTACACCTTCTCCTTAGGATGTGCCCCATCCAGAGCTAACCTAAATAAATAGACCACGGCAGCCCTATACAATGCTACCCCCATGCCTTGGGGACAGCTGGCTGCAGGATGAGAAGGCATCTAACCCAGGTTGAGCCCAGCTTCTCGGTTCTAGAGGTTTAGAATTAAGATAGAAGTCGACAATAATAATTGTAGGAGTTTCCAAAGCTGGCACCCTGCACAATCACCTGGGAAGAGGAAGACTGTCCACAAGAAGGACTGCCCTAGTGGCTGCAGTAGCCCAAAGAGCTGACAACGCCACATTTAGATAACTTTACCACCGCACCCGCTCCGAAAGACAAGTCAGGCTTGCCCATCTCTTCCTACGTGCATTAAGACACACACAAAACAACAGCAGCACCTTCCTTGCTTTCACTGGGGACAATTGGTCGATGGCCATTTTTTCAGTTGTATCTCGTGGTACACTCAGTAGAGTAAGATCAAGCCATCCGGTGTGACCCACGGAGGCTCTCAAATACAAATGTATTTTAAGATTCTGACTTGCCGAATCATCTCTCTTGGCTTGCTACAGTTTGTAGAACCTGCCATTCGTTCGATACAACTCGGATCTTGCCCAAGAGCCCAGGTTCTGTCAGGAGGATGGTCAGAGGCACACTTACCCATGCACTTGGGTGTCGAAGTAAAAGCCATGCTTTGCAGAGAAAGAGTGGCCTTTTTAAAGAAAAGCGAGCTTACCAGCTGTAATTGTTTTAAAAACTCAACGAAGACATCGCTCCTCAGCACGTCCGGGTCCATGGGTACTGAAAAACAAGGACAGTGCGCTGCGTTAGCAGGGGCTTGGTCTGGGTGTTCTTTATCAAATCCTCCTTTGCTCCAGGGGCCCTCCAGCCTGGCCAGGGTGCTGCTGCCTCCCTGACGGCAATGGAGCTGGCACCCTCACCCAGACTTGGAAGTCCACAGGGCCTGCCTGCCTCCGGGCAGCCCTGACAGTCAGGTGAGTCCATCACAGGACCCAGGGTGACTGTGTCCACAGGAGTCTCGCTTGATTCAGGTACACACTGCGCCTGCCCACCTCCCTGCTTGATAGCCATCTCACTGTATCCTTCCAACACCGTTATGACCTCATGCTAACGGTCTTTCTCATCCAGATGATGTGTCTTTGTCTGGCTTGTCAAGACGTCATCAACGTCCTCCTTAAATCCTATTTGAGATTTGAGGGTTTCTTTTGTACCCTAAAACAGGTATGTGTGCAACATAAGCTTAGAATCATTAGCACCGGGATTCCCGGGGGTGGGGAAAGCTGTTGAAAAAGGTATTCCTGGGGAAAGGCCCAGGTCTGATAGAGACTGGCGGAACCCCTAAGACTGGGACCCTTCCACACCCTTCCCGTTGGGACCTGAGCTTACCAACACGACTCAGAGGTCAGCCACGTAACAGATAGATCTGAACGGTAAACGATACCACGGGAGCTACGCACTCCTTACAACCACGAACCACACAGGATCAAAATACAACTCTTCCATCCATGTCTCTCAACTTCCCGCTAAATAAATGGGTGGAGTCATGCAAATGAGGGGGCACGGTGAGACACTCATAGCTTGGTTAGGTTGCCATTTCTCTGGGTGAAAGAGGGACAAGTCTGAAACAGAACCAGAGGCATTCCAGAATCAACCAGGAAGAACGGCTTCCAGTGGAGTGCAGGCGAGGCCCCCACCTGAAGTGGTGGAAGCAGAAGATGGGGGAGAAAGGGGAGAAACAGGGAACTGATCGCAATGATTGATGTATAACCTGCCCACACCCCTCCCCCACCAGAGGGACAAACAACAGAAACGTGAGTGAAAGGAGACAGCGGACAGTGTAAGACATGAAAATAATAAGATTTATAATTTATTAAGGGTTCCTGAGGGTGAGAGGGTGGGTAAGGGAGGGAAAAAAGAGGAGCTGATACCAAGGGCTCAAGTAGAAAGAAAATGTTTTGAAAATGATGATGGCAACCTATGTACAAATGTGCTTGATACAATGGATGTATGGATTGTTGTAAGAGTTGTAAGAGCCCCCAATAAAATGATTTTAAAAAATAAAGAAAGAACGTGACACGCTATTTCACACCCACTTCCTTTTGATCAGAATGTACTTACTGATTCCTGGGGCAGAATGTCTATTGGGTCTCATGGCTCAGGAGCAAATAACAGTTCTTGGACTTCAATCAACAAACCCAACACGCCGCACCAGAGTGTTCATCGAGCATCAGGTATTTGTTAAACCACATAGAAGGGTCACCTGTTCCATTGATAGGAAATGTGCCCATCTATAGAGGTTGCCAGGAGCTGGGGGGGAGGCTTTGGGAACTAGTGACTGGGTGTAGGGCTATGAGGCTTCTTTGAGGAGGAGAGCAGTATGTTGTAAAGTTAAATTTTGACCATGAGGGACAGTGTCTAAGACGGTCAAATGATACGATTTAAGCGGGTGACTTTCATCATGTGGAACAGGCCTCAATGAACTATGAAAGAATAAAACGAAACACCAAATACATACGGTTTTGCAAATATTGTTCCAGCTGTTTCCTCCTCTCATCAGCCATCAGCGCGGTCATTGCGAGATAGTACTTGGGCGGAAAGGGCGGCAGAGAGTCCCCGAAGTCCCGCCTGAGCTGAGAGAGGCAGAAACACACAGGCAGAGGCTGGCTGAGGGACGGCAAGTCAGATCCCAGCAGTTTATTTAAAACTATACCTTGCCGGGAGGGGGGCCACGAGGAATACAAAAGGGTCACGTGGTTTTCTTAAGGAGGAATTTGTGGCAGTGCAGGTTGCCCTGCCTATCTGATAGCAGAAACTTTGTAAGTCATAATAGTGTGCAGTGAAGAAGCATTTATAGGGGGAAATTTTTTAACATTCTCAGATCCAAAGAAATACCCTGCTAACTGACACCAAACAGCTCAGAAACCCTGAGCTCACAGGAACGTCCAGTGTTCACAGACCCAGTCCACGGCCTGGGCGGCTCCGGGCTGGGCTGCCGGGTGTGGTTTCCGAGCAAGAACTTCAGGCACCGCCTTTGGAGTGCGCGAGGCCCCTTTAACTGCTGCTGTTAAAACATCTGACCGCAAGTTTCATTTTGTTTTTTTGAGTTTTTAGGGTTTTGCTTAGTAAAAGTAAAAATCTTCTTTGGATTTCTTTTTGGTTATCCAAAAAGGTACTAATGTAGGTCTTTCGTGAACATAAAGAGACAAAAAAGCAAACTTTCTACGGCAAGAGATACCTGTGTCTGTTTCCAGAGATTGATTGGATACGCCACTGACTGATCACTCCAGTCTGTGTTTGGTGGGTTTCGTCTGTTTTTATTTTCCATTTGTTTTATAATACAGTATTTCCTAAATTCATTCCACTGTAATTATCTACGATATCAACGATGACAGTTAGGAACTTAATTCCTCAACTCACCCCATCTCCACCACCCGCAAATCTCAACTGAGTGTGTTTATAACAGTTGTGGGAACACTGGCCACTTGGGCCTGTTGAGACGTAAAATATTGCTAGTCTGAATTAAGATGTGCTGTATGTGTTTTTAAAAAAATAAGAAAGGCACAACAGATTTCAAACTCTTAACACAAAACTTGCTGCATTAATAATTTGTGTATTGATTACTATATATACCTGAGCATAAGCAGACCCGAATATCTGCCGAGGCACCTAATTTTACCACAAAAACTGCATTAAGATATGACATCAGACAGTTAAGATAAAACAAAATAAGAATAATTTATAAATTATCAAGGGTTCATGGGGGAGAGGGGAGCAGGGAAGGAGGGGAAAAAATGAGGTGCTGATATCAAAGGCTCAAGTAGAAAGCAAATGTTTTGAGAATGATGAGGGCAACAAATGTACAAATGCGCTAGACACAATGGATGTATGTATGGATTGTGATGAGTTGTATGGCCCCCAATAAAATAAATTTTTTTAATGTGCTGAAAAACTTGGCTTATACATGAGTACATACAGTATAAGCTGAAGTGGCAATATTTTAGATATACTGGGTTTTTTTAAAAAACATTTTGTTAAAATACATTTCACCCATTTATATGTTTTAATTTAATGTTTTAATGTGGCTACCATCAAAGTTAAAATTACATATGTGACTTGCATTGTATTGCTATTAGGCTGTGCTGATCGTTACATAATTCCTATAAAGCTTACATATGATCCCAATAGAAACACTGTCGCCTCTTCCCTCCCACTCACCAACGTGTCACCCAAGATCATGGTAGCTGTTCTTTTCATATAAGCCGAATAGTAGGTGGAGGAGCCCTGGTAGCAAAGTGGGTTATGCACTGGGCTGCTAACCCCAAGGTCAGCAGTTTGAAACCTCCAGCAGCTCCACAGGCGAACAGCGAGGCTTACTACTCCTGCAAAGGATTCTAGTCTGCCCTATAGGGTTGCTATCAAGTTTGGAAATTGTGGATATACCCAAAAAACGTGGTTTCTTTCTTTCTTTGAATTAAGAAAACCAAGCGTTCATCTTTCTGCAGTCTAGTCCCCCAGCTTGAGAAGAAGGGGCAGCATCATTCTCTTAAAAGGGGAAAAGGCAACGGAGGCCCTTGGACTCAAGGCTGACACCCCCTAGTGTAAGAAGAAGGAGATGGCCGCTACCCTAAGGATGCCCGGTGAATGGTGACCTGGAACTACCACATCCTTACTCTTTTAATGCCCTCCTTGCTTCATGATGACATGTATTAATCCCGGAGGTGTGGCTCTGCTGTTGAGAATGAACGTCATTAAAAGTATTGCCCTATCACCAACCCTCACTGTTTGTGTAAGCAGTGTCCAGTCACTTAAGAGTTCCATCTGTACAAGCCAATAATTCGTGTATCGCAGCTCATAACTGGGCCGTGCTGGTCGAATTGCCTTTTCTCAACAGTGTTGTAAGTTCTCTACCATTGGCTGAACGAATGACACTATCAATATGTATAGTGCTTACACATCGGGCGCCTAATCCAAGGTCAGCGGTAGGAGGATGAGCTTTCTGCTGCTGCAAAGATTTACAGTCTTGAAAACTCACAGGGGCAGGTCTACCCTGTCCTATAGGGTCGCTGTGAGTCAGCTGATGGCAGAGGCAGTGATGGGGGAGGATTGTTAATGTTCTCTAACATAAAATGGCAACCAACGATGTCTCTCCAGTGAATCAGAGATAAATGTAAACCATAGATAGATGAATAGATTTTGGGCTTCCACTTAATTCTAGCCCCAGTCGAAGAACAATTCATTCTCATGACATGGCCCTGCTTAATGCTCACTCTCCTGAAGAGATCACTGAAGATATGGGTGCTATAAGCAAAGTGTAGTGAATAAACTAGATGACGCCTGGCTATTAGAAGGAATAGCGTCTGGGATCTTATAAGCTTGCTTTCAAACAAGCAGCCATCTCAAAGAGGTGTGAACTAAGTCCATATGGAAGAAGCACACCAGCCTGTGTGATTCAAGGATTGTAAATAGTAAAATCCAACTCCAAAGAATGCAATGGCATCAGTGTTTAAATTGTGAACACCTGGTTTGCAGAAGGCTATAGATGGCAGTAGAAGCTCAAAACCCATTTGCAGGGCCCACACGTGGTTTAGGTCTCCAGTGAATCTCCTCTGATCATAGTTGAAGAATGTGAATAGACCTGTTATCAGACAGAGAGCATTGCAAAGTGGATCATGACAGGTGTAGTTTAACCTAACTGGAGTTACCTAACCCTAGTTAGGTCCCTGGGGGCTGGAGCTGACTGGAGGGCACCTAACAGCAACAGTTAGGTTAAAATGTAATATCTTTTGATCTCCCTTTTGACCCATTTTACAGTTGCTTCAGCTTAGAGAGAAAAGTGACAAAGAGAGACACGTGGAGTAAGCCCCTGACCACAGAGCAGGGATATGAACAGCCTTGCTTTCAGCCACAATGCATTGGAAAGTAGACTTTTTGCAGATATACTTAGGTTAAAAATTAACATCTTAACATTTGATATCCCCTTGATCCACTTTAAATTTGTTCTAGTTTTTAATATTTTCAGTGTTCTTTTTGATGGAGCTTTTTATCTGTTTTACTTTGTTAAATTAAAAAAAATTTCTGTCTATGAAATCAGATAGGTAAATCTATAGAAACAGTAACTGGATGAATGGTTCCTTGGGGGAATGGCAGGGGCAGTTGGGGGGAAATGGGCACAGTATAAGATGAAGAAAATGTTCTGGCCCTGATTGTGGTCATGATTGTATAATTCTTCTCACTGTGATTGAGCTATTGTATGATATGAGAATGCTATGCCGATAAAACCGTTTTTAAAAAAACAAACAGGAAAAGAAAATCACTCAGAAACCCAATCAGGCCTAACGTGGTACATCAGGAGCCAGGGAGCAAGGGCCTGAAGCTCTCACTGGCATCAGTGGTCGAGATAAAACAAACCAAGGCCATTTAAGTTGTTTGCCTGGAGGTAGTTGGGTTAAAATGTAATACCTTATCATTTGATCTCCCTTTGATCCTTTATAAAGTTGTTTTGGCTTTTAATGTTTGCTTTCTTTTGATTGAGGTTTTTCCTGTGTTTTGTCTAGTCCTTAAGTGCTGGGTTTTGTATGTTTGTTGGCTTTGCTTCCTGTTTGTGTTTTATATGGTTTTCTGCATAGGAAATCCAGGGTAGGTAGATCTATAGAGGCAGTAACTGGATTGATAATTGCCTAGGGGCATGGCAGGGGATGGTGAGGGAATGAGGTGCTAACAATAATGAGTATGAGAAGAAAATGTTCTGAAATAGATTATGGGCATGATTACACAAATCTTCTTATTATGACTGAATGATTAAATTGTATGATATGTAAAGTATATGCCAATAAAATGACTTTAAAGAAATTGTTTGCCTGAAACTTGCAGCCATTCAAGTTAGCATAAAATATCCCATAGCAGTCATTCTATTTCCCTGGAGCTCCAGGAATTTCCCTCCCATGCCTGAGATTGTCAAAAGGCATCCTGCTAGAGCAGGGGCCCAGGCAGGGCTATTCAAATAACCAGGGATTGACACACCCATCGGTGTGAATGTCATTAAATGGAAGCAGAAATTTTTCTTCTTTGCATGCAATTATTTCTTGATTAACTGATTAAGTGATCTTTAAAAGGCAATTGTCTTCCTTGGCATGTGTTCATGAATGTCGCAGATGCTCTCAAATTGCTTCTAATCACAGCTGCCTCGGGCCAGTGGGGCTGTCTGTGTTTTCCAGCTGCGGGAAAGCATGGAGGGATGTGCCTACCTGAGGCCTGCGCTGGGGAGAATGTCAACAAGGATTAAGGTGGTAATACCCATCACCAAGCAGAAACCCTGCCAGCATGTTTTGCAACCTGAGCTGACATCCTAAGGAATTTGTCCCTGCTCTTCAAAGAGGAGAAGATAAATGTGCTTTCTTCTGGGCTGAGCTTGCCCAGAGGACAATCATCAACTGACATGTTCTTCAACTCTTCCGAAATAGAACTTATCTTAAAAAATAATAATAATAATTTCACAGGCATAGAAGTCACTTTTCATACAAGTTAATAGCTCAGTCATACTAAGAGGAGTTGTAAAATTATCTCCACAATCAATTTTAGAACGGTTTCTTCTTTCGTGCTCATTGTTACCTGTAGGCCATTCCCCAACCTCTCCTGCTATGCCCCCCAAGGAGCCATTCAGGCAGTCACAGTGTTCCATGGGTCTCAGCAACTAGTTTTGTTGTCAGAACAATTGTGTAGAGAATTATCTGATTCCAAGGTGCCCTTGGAAGGGTTAAGGGTTAAGGGTTAAAGGGTTAAGCACCAGGCCACTAATCCAAAGGCTGATTCAACCCCATCCAGCTGTCCTGTGGGGGAAAAGGCCTGGGAGACTTGCTTTCATAAAGATTACTGCCCCCAAGACCCTATGAGACACTTCTACGTTGAGATGTGGAGCCACTATGACTCTAAATTACTCCATCTGCACTTAGCTGCCCTGAGTAGATTACAACTCATAGCGACCCTATAGGATAGGGTAGAACTGCCCCTGTGGGTTTCTGAGACTGTCACTCTTTACTGGGGCAAGTATTGGTGGTGATGGTGGGGAGGTTAGAATGCCTCATCTTTCTCCCGGGCAGTGGCTATGGTTTCACACTGCTAACCTTGTGGTTAGCAGCCCAATACATAACCACTCCACCATCCAGTGTGCAAAATGACTCAATGGCTCCTAATTAACAACAGGTTTCACCATGAGGCGGGATCAGCTTGAGGACACAAGACAACAGGATCCAGCCCAAACTGCGCTGCAAAAAACAGTCTCGTTTGTCTGTTTAAGAAGGTCATATTCAGATTGTGTGTGTGTGTGTGTGTGTGTGTGTGTGTGTTTTATCCCAGCAGTCTCCTCCGGGCCATTCCAGAATAATGATGACCTGGGACAAGTGGAATTAAGACACAAACTGTATCCTTTCCAGTCTTTTTCTCCTGTTGTGTCATTCACGGCCCCCTTCCCAAGTTCCCTGTGGCAAAAATCCAGATTCACCAGCTGAAGGACCACAGCAAATCAGCATGTTCCCAACTGTCCCTCAAAGCGGATCTGCAGCATCATCGTTGATGTTGTCACCCTCCACCATAACAGATGGGGACCCTAAGGTTTGGGGACATGGACACGGGGTCCTACCGCCAATTATGGCAGAAGTTGGCCTCAGAATGTTCACCGCCACCATCACCATTGACTTCTGTTGTGGCAGGATTCTACTCTGTTATTAAAGTTTGGGGGTTCGCTTCCATAATCAAAGGAAACAAAATGTACCTGCAAAAAGAGGAACATGACAAGGTCTAAATCTTAACCTGGGAAAACAAAGGGATTAGAGAAAAGTATTTTGTACATCTGGAAGGAGCTTCCAAAGGAGGTAGGGTGCCGGGTTGGCCTTAAGAAATGGCTAGTGCCTGACAAGTGGGTCAGAAGCCAGGGTAGGGGACGTGAACTCGGCAGAGGTAATGAATCGATCAACCTAACAGGAAACGGAAGTTAGGGCGGGACAAGAGGCAGGAAGGTGGAGAGGTCAAAGAACCAGTCTGGTGGGGAGACGGAGTCAGTGTAGGTGGGTTGGCAGAGCCTCTGTCTCCCACTGGAATGTCCTTTGCCATTGTCCCTGACTTGCTTCATTGCTAAGACCAACATCGGCAAAGGATTTGCTAAGAGGCAAGTCTCCAACTGGGAGGGCCCACTGTTGCTCCCGCTAGCTGAAAGTAAAGAGGACTTGAAGCACTTACTGACC